GCCGGGCGTGGTAGCGCGCACCTGTAGTTCCGGCTACCTGGAAGGCTGAGGTGGAAGGATTGCCTGAGCCTAGCAGGTCGAGGCTGCAGTGGCCAGGAATGTGCCACTGCACTCCAGTCTGGGCGACAGAGCGAGACTCCAACTCAAAAAACAAACAAACAAAAAAACATATTGCTATTTTGAAAGAGGGAAGACAAGAACTCTTCTTTCACAGGGCCAACAGATATAAAGTAACAGAATACTAGACCCCAATAAACAGTCAAACTTAATACATTACACACTTATTACTAATTTTTAGAAGCATTAAAAGCTCAAAATTTTCTTCCCAAAGTGTTTGAATTTTGGAGGGTGAGGGAGCCAACCAAGGCTAAGCTGAAATGGTCTAGACTTGGTGGTGTTGCTAGAATTTAAACCTTAGAGCCACAGAAAGCAGTCCACTAGGCCTGTCTTCTGTGCTGTGAGAAGGTGGCAGTTCAGGCCTTGTTTTTTCTGCCTCATCTTGGATTCACAGTCTCTGCTACTGAAGCAAGGAAGAAACTCCTGTCGTGGCTCACTGAGAATGTTGACAAAGAGGGAACACTTTTGGGCCTCAGGAATGTTGAGGATGGACAGAAAGAACTGGAGAGGATGTGTAGGGCAGAGGACAGGGCACGGTGTCCGGCATTACCTGGGATTGTATTGAACCATGCTCCACTACTCACTAGCTGTGTAGCCCTAGGCCACTCCCTGGGCAGAGGATGGTGGTGACAACAATAACAAACATCACAACAGTAATAATAGTGGCTAACATTTATTGAGCAGTTACTACTGTGCTAGGCATTTCATGTGTGTTAATCTCATTGGTGAAGTAGATACCATTATATCCCTACTTGATGGACAAACCATGCCCTCTCCTACCTCTGGAATTTGGCATCTGCCATCCCCTCTGTCTGGACTTCGAAGGAGAATCCCATTCATCTGCTAGGTCTGGCATCAGCTGGAATTCATTCCTTCCTCCTCTGCATCCCAAGAGCATTTTATACTCATCCCTTACCACAGCCAACTTTACCAAAGGAGATGGGTGCCTGGCTCCTTGTTGGGGCTGGGCTTGTCCTTTCTACTTTCTTTTATTTTTTAGAATTGGAGTTTCACTACGTCGCCCAGGCTGGAGTGCAGTGGCACACTCACCACCACACCAGTGTCAACCTGCTGGGCTCTGGTGATCCTTTTGCCTCAGCCTTCCAAGTAGCTGGAACTACAGGCGTGCGCTACCATGCCTGGCTAATTTTTGATTTATTGTAGAGACGAGGTATCGCCAATTTGCCTGGGCTGGCCTCAAACCCGTAGGCTCAGGCAACCCCCTAGCCTCGGCCTCCCAAAGTGCTGGGATTACAGGCTGAGCCACCCAGCCCGGCCTGGGCTTGCCCTTTCTGTATCCACAGATGCAAGCATACTAGAAGAAGAGGAAGAAATTTCTTTCCCTGTGTAGTCAGATACATTTTCTCCACCCCAGACTGACTGTCATCTACCAACAGGAAGACTTATCACCCTCTCCTGGATTTTGAAAACTTTTTAGGTTTTTTTTTTTGAGTTGGAGTCTCACTCTGTCACCCAGACTGGAGTGCAGTGACTGCTCCCGG